TTAGGTTCTCAGCTGCTACTCTAATGGTTGAAGGTTCAAGTCCACTCCGAGGTGCCCCAGAAGAAAAGCCTGGTGAATTCCAAAACACCGGCCGTTAAAAACTCTCTGGAATAATAGCTCTGATATACATGGTGAGGCCGGGGCTCAGGATCAACTTGACAGTAACTTTTTGAACCCAGGGTCATGATACCTAGAAAGGACCATAGCATGCAGGGTGACCCTTTAGGCACAAGGGAAGTTCTAGAGAACATTGGGCCGAAGGACTTTCCCCAAGCCTAGTCCCTCACACCTGAGAAGCAGGCTGGCTGGGCATGGCCCGGGGGGTCAGTCACCAATGTACTCTCGGGCTGGGTGGGACTCCTCAGATTTTAGAACAGAGGCAGGGAACCAGCTCTGGGGTGTTTTGTTACATTCTCATCTCTTCGGGGGAGACCCTGGGTGCATTCTTAGCTTTCTTAGGGTTGGGCTTCACTCCCTCTTTCTGACTGCCTGTCATTCAGCATATACTTACCATCCGTTCCACACCCGCACCCCCCCCTCCCCCCAATCCCTTGTGCCAGGTCCTGTGCTGGCCTCTGAAGGCTCTGGGCTGCCTTCCCAGGAATGCTGGGTCTGCTGGGGAAGCTAATCTAGTGAGAATAGGCCTGTTTCCCCCGTGAATTATAAGCTCCCGCTCCCTTCTCCACCAACACACACATACACACAGCTCCTTTCAGTAGAGCTCATTGATGAGGCCATGACAGGGGAGGAACTTTAAGCCACCAGCTCCCAGGCAACCTCAGCCAAGCGCTGGCAATGCTTAATTAAATTACCCACGGACCCCAAGTCACAACTCAAAGCTGGGAACCAAGAATGTCCAGTAAACAAAGGAGAGCTGGAAGTCCCCTGCCCCGAGGCCATTCCTCTCCCTTTTTGTCGCCTTGCTATGTGGAGAACTTCCTGACATGGAAGCGTTGTCTCCTTAGAAGTTGCCTGCTCGCTTGCCCAGTTCTCCACTCTCCTAGGCTACTGACCTCATCCAGTTCATCTCCAGGGAGATGGCTGGGCTGCTGCCTGTAGACACTGTCCTTCAGCCTGGGTCTGTCCTGTGGCCTGTCCTTCCCCTGGCCTCCTCTGGGATTGGGTCGGCCGTGAGCCACCACATCGAGGCGGTGGTGCGCACCGGCCCCCGCGCCGGGGGCAGCGTGGTGCTGGGCCAGGTGGACAGCCGCCTGGCGCCCTACATCATCGACCTGCAGTCCATGAACCAGTTCCGCCAGGACACGGGTGAGCTGTGGCCCCGGCCCCCTCGGCGCCCACTACCCTCCTGGGCCCAGATTTCCAGCCCTGCGGCTGGCCGGCCGCCCGGGCGGCACCCCGCTGCAGTGGGGTTTCCAAGAGCGGGTGGGAGGGCGCATGGCTCCCCAGGATCTTCTTAGACCGCCCCCTCCCCCAAATAAACGCGTTAGCTCGTAGTAGCAATGCTCATTCTAGTTCCTAAGAAGCTCCTTCCACGCCCCCTTTACGGCGCTTGCCGGCTTGGAGCCCTACGGTGGTGTAGACGTTTGGGGACCACCCAGCGCACCAAGCCAGCCCAGCCCTCTCAAAGGCGCACGTCCCGCACCCAGAGCTGACCCCTTACTGTCTCCGGCCTGTCAAATACGCCCCGGACTGCCTCTGCCTCTCCGTTTCATATTGTGGGGGAGAAAGAAAGGGGAACCCCTGGAGGCTCTCGCTATAGACTAGCAGGGGAAGCGCCTGGGCCTCCCCAGGAGGAGAGGTGGCGTTCCCGGGATTCCAGGGGTGGAATATCCTGGATGCTCTGGCATCAGTGCGGCTGCGGGAGCGCTCAGAGCACTGAAGCAACAGGCCGGAGCAGATGGAGAGAGAAAGAGGAGGGAGGGGACTGGGGAATGCCAGCCGGGAAAGCCGCTCCCTTTGTCCCGGAGCAGGAGGCGGATTCCTTAGGAGAAACTGTCCTCGGGGCGGGGGCTGCCTCTTGAAACCATGGCCTCTGAGGGAAAACAAACCGTCCGCCCAGAAATCTGCTGCTAGGCTGTCTTTCTTTTTATGAGAATCAGGTTACCCACGGTGGCCACCACGGCCCTGCCTCTCAGCTGACCAACCTTTCCAGATCACGGGGCAGAAGGGAGCCTTGCAGGGTGGGGGCCCCTGGAGGGGGGAGCAGGACACAGCAGCATTACTTAGTTTGGGCCAGTGCAGCCAGCTTTCATTGACAACTTAGGACATGTGTCCTAGACACTCCAGAAATCTCTTCAGTGAGTAAGGGTGGGGGAGGCTTCTAGAATTCTGTCTGGGCTTCCTGCGGAGGCAGAGTATCACCAGGAGCCTGGAGAAGCAGGTGTGATGGGGAGGGAGTAGAGGCCATGAGGGGGTGGGGGGAGTCTCAGAGAGGGTCAGAGAACAGCTGTTTGAGACTCAACCTCTCCCCCAGCCTCCACATCCTGTGTGCTAATTGGGATTGTCATGGGAAAGGGACGTTTTTCACCCTTGGTCTCTATCCTTTAGTCATCACTCCCAGCAACCTCTCTGCCAAGGACCTTGTTCAGACACTGGGCGGCTGGAGTAAAGGCTTTCAGGGAAAAGGCTTCCCCAAGTGTTAGCATCTGGAGGGGCTTAAACCTTGGTGGGGGAGAGAGGGGGTTGGGCTGAGGGAGACTGGGCAGGAGGAGGGAGGAAGGAAGAATGTGGGGAGATTGAGAAAAAGGATTAAGTGTGGCAGAGGGAGGGAATGTCATTGTGCAATTTGGATTGAGGTTGGAGGTGAGGGTGGAGGCGGTCAGATTGGGGGAGGGTGTGTGTGTGTGTGTGTGTGTGTGTGTGTGTGAAGGAGCGAGCCAGAACACGTGTGCTGTGCCTGTGTGTGTAAGCAAGGAAGCTGAGGTGAGGAGGTGGGACCATGGAGATGAGCAGTTCAGACACCTGACAGGGAATTCCAGGCCTGCTCAAAATAGACCAGCAGGTGTTAGCTTTTCTATTTCAGACTCAAGCGCTGCAGCATATGGAGAACCACCCTGGTGACATAAAGGCCCCAGTCTCTCACCACTGTCTGGGAAGGTTGAAGTTTAATTTGGGTTTGGCATGGGGTACCCAGAAGGGTCAGAGAGTGGTACAAACAGTTAGGTTCTCAGCTGCTACTCTAATGGTTGAAGGTTCAAGTCCACTCCGAGGTGCCCCAGAAGAAAAGCCTGGTGAATTCCAAAACACCGGCCGTTAAAAACTCTCTGGAATAATAGCTCTGATATACATGGTGAGGCCGGGGCTCAGGATCAACTTGACAGTAACTTTTTGAACCCAGGGTCATGATACCTAGAAAGGACCATAGCATGCAGGGTGACCCTTTAGGCACAAGGGAAGTTCTAGAGAACATTGGGCCGAAGGACTTTCCCCAAGCCTAGTCCCTCACACCTGAGAAGCAGGCTGGCTGGGCATGGCCCGGGGGGTCAGTCACCAATGTACTCTCGGGCTGGGTGGGACTCCTCAGATTTTAGAACAGAGGCAGGGAACCAGCTCTGGGGTGTTTTGTTACATTCTCATCTCTTCGGGGGAGACCCTGGGTGCATTCTTAGCTTTCTTAGGGTTGGGCTTCACTCCCTCTTTCTGACTGCCTGTCATTCAGCATATACTTACCATCCGTTCCACACCCGCACCCCCCCCTCCCCCCAATCCCTTGTGCCAGGTCCTGTGCTGGCCTCTGAAGGCTCTGGGCTGCCTTCCCAGGAATGCTGGGTCTGCTGGGGAAGCTAATCTAGTGAGAATAGGCCTGTTTCCCCCGTGAATTATAAGCTCCCGCTCCCTTCTCCACCAACACACACATACACACAGCTCCTTTCAGTAGAGCTCATTGATGAGGCCATGACAGGGGAGGAACTTTAAGCCACCAGCTCCCAGGCAACCTCAGCCAAGCGCTGGCAATGCTTAATTAAATTACCCACGGACCCCAAGTCACAACTCAAAGCTGGGAACCAAGAATGTCCAGTAAACAAAGGAGAGCTGGAAGTCCCCTGCCCCGAGGCCATTCCTCTCCCTTTTTGTCGCCTTGCTATGTGGAGAACTTCCTGACATGGAAGCGTTGTCTCCTTAGAAGTTGCCTGCTCGCTTGCCCAGTTCTCCACTCTCCTAGGCTACTGACCTCATCCAGTTCATCTCCAGGGAGATGGCTGGGCTGCTGCCTGTAGACACTGTCCTTCAGCCTGGGTCTGTCCTGTGGCCTGTCCTTCCCCTGGCCTCCTCTGGGATTGGGTCCATTTGCATTCTATGCTGGTCTCCACTAGGCTGTTGGGAGGACTCTGGAGACTGGAAGAAGGGAAAGGATGGGCCAGGGACAGGAGATAGGACATGATCTTGGGACGCTTCCAAAAGCCTTGGTCAGTGGTCTTCTGCACCAGCCTTCATCTCTAGCGTCACTGTCCCCTGTATTGTCCAATACACCTGATCCCTGCCGCCATCAGAGCCCAAGCTGGAAATTGGAGATAAGTCTTGTTCTGGACTCACTAGCCTACGCTGTGACCTTGAGGCAGTCCTTTAGCTGTTTGGGTTCATTTTTATCCTCGGAGTGAAGAGGGCCTGCAGATTTCTCCTTGCTCTTTCCTTCCCTTGTGTGGACCAGCAGGTGAAAGCCTCTGGGCCCTGCACTAGTGGTGACACTAATCATAAGACTTGGCATGGTGTCAGGGCCAGGTTCTGCTCAGCTCAGCATTTCTGTGCAAGTCTTGCCCCATTCATAGAGTTCCTGGATGGTGCAAATGCTTAAGCACTTGACTATGAGTCTATACGTTGATGGTTCAAATCTACTCAGAGGCACCCTGGGAGATGGGCTCTGGCAATCTCTTTCCAGAAGAACCTTGCACACCCTATGGAGCAGTTCTACTTGGTCCCTAGAGGTCACCATGGGTCAGAATCAACTTCATGGCAGCCAACAACCACAATAGGTCTTGAATGCAGTGAGAAGGGTCAGATAGAGAGTGAGTCCGATGAGTCCTTGACCATAACCCCCTACAGTACCCATCCCCACCCCATGTGGACACAAGTGTAAGAGGCTAGGTATCAAGAGGATCATAAGACAGTTGTAATATTGAAGATGCATATTGTACACATTCTAATATTGAATGTTCAGGCAGCCTTATGGAAAACCAGTGCTCATTCCCACTTTATAGAAGAGGCATCCCCTCTCTCTGATGTTAGGCTTGATCCAGTTTGCAACATTGTCTGTGGCTTTTGTTTTGTGTTTCATATTGGGGTTTATCTTAGATGTATTTTGTCATTCTGGGTAGCCCTCACATTTTTGTTATGTTTCTCTGTTTTTCAGTATATGAAACCCCAGGATTGATGAACCTATAGAGATAACAAGTAGAATAAGGATTCTGGGGGGATGGGGGTGGGCAGTGGGGGAAAGGGATAATGGGGAGCTGATATCAAGGAGTTCAAGGAGGAAGAGAATGTTTTGAAACTGATTGTGGTAGCAACTGTACAATACTGCTTAATGTGATTGCCCTATGGAATGATATGATATCTTTATGAGCTCCCAATAAGATGGCTTTGAAGAAAAGGGAAACAAATGGAAAGAGATTAAGTGGTTCATAAGGTTTACTGCTGGTGAATGACAGAGCTTCAAAATCAGGTGCCCCATGCTCGGCTCCTTCATTCTGTGAGCCAGCTATGGATCACCTATCTGCTCAAGTCACACAAGCTGTAGGATTAACAATCTTCAAGACTTTGCCCTCATGGAACGTTCTTGTGGTAGGGAGGGAGGTGCCTGGGGTTTCCTTGAACCAATGGGGATGAATTGCCCCCAGAGACCTCAGGATGTGCCTCGAAGGCACTGCTTCCCAATTCCCAGGAACTAATTGAACTGCTAGAAGAAACCAGTATTTTTTTCATTGTTCCCACAAACCTATTTCTCCCTATATTACTGGAGACTTTGGGGTCACTTTGCCTTAAGACAAGAAGGAATTCCCTCTATCATTTAGTTCATGGTCCTCATTCTAGAAATGTCCAGGCCTACCTCATTCCAAACAAGTTGGTCTCTGAAAATAATAAGAGAATGCCACCTTGCCATCTCTCTTGACCCTGACATTGGTTCTGAGATCTTTCTACTGTCTCTACTCCCCTCCTGGGCCAGATCCCATTTCCTCTCAGGCTGAACTGAACTCCAGAACTTTCCCTCTAAAAGTCGCTCTCCCTTTTGACGCTCGATTGTCTTGTTATGGTACTACCATTTTACCGTTCCCTGTGGAGAAGGCCTTGGGATTCATTGACTCACTCTG